TTGTTATTTAACTTTTTAATTATATAATTTTTTGTTTTATTTATTTCCAAATTTCATTAATTTTTTTTTATTGTTTTTATTTTATTATTTTATTTAATTGTTTTTTTAATTACTTAATTTTTATATTATAATAATTATTTATTTTCGGGGTCAATTTTTCGGTACAGTTTATAAGGGAGTTAGCAATTTACTAATATATAGTACTCTGTGTATAAGACTCTCTTGTGTTTTCTCTGCAGCCATATTGAATTATGATATCAGAAGCGAGAAATCATATAAATTTTTTTTGGCAACATTAATAATTATTTTTTGCGATATAAATAAGTTATTTTTTATACAATTACTTGTTCGATAATATATGTTTTAGTAAAATACGTCGGTTTTGATAAACTCCCTTTTGTATTATCCTGCATCAATAAATGATTGTACCTATATGATGTGCATACAAATTGCAGCGATATCTATTCAATATGTAATATATGTACTTCACGGTGACCATATAAAACAAAAGTAGAAAGTTTTGATTTTAGCATTGTTTTATACATGCAAAAAGCGCAATGGATATTCAATATCCCAATTGACCAAGTCTGTTGATCAACAGATTTTGCTAAGGGCCATGGCACATAGAAAAACTTAAGCAGTAAGACTTAAGACTTAAGAATTTCATCCATACGGAATTTTCAGCATTGCTTACGTTTCAATATGGCTGCCTTACTGTTCGACCGTGATTGGTCAATTCGCTTACTGTTTAAGTCTTACTGCTTATGTTTTTCTATATATATGTGCCACGGCCCTTAGTGTCTGTCATAAAATTTTTGTCGGCAAAAAGGATACAAATTTAGTACAGAGTCTGATTTCGATTATATCGATAAACTGTCAGCAGAACTATAACAAAATTTGCTGATAATTTGACAGCAGATTGGCGGCAAAAATCCAGCAGGATTTATAGCTCTTGCTCGGTTTCTATTGCCAATCTGTCATCAGTAGCAGGATTCTCTAAACATCTTAGCGACGATTATCGTTGTCGTTAGCGAGCGATAGCCTAGAATTGCGCTTTTTACCGGAATTGTCCTTGCCATTGGCTGTCGCTAGTTAACGATACCGAAAACTGTCGATAACAAGTTACTGAATTCCGCTACAGATTGCGCGCACGTATAAATTTTGTTCGGTTTTTGACGTCAGTTTACTATCAAGTTCTGTAAGTTCTGGCGGAAAATCACAAGCTCCTCTTCCCCTAATGCGACCATAGTTGATGCTAATTTGCTAGCAACGTTTGAGTAAATTTGTTGTCAATCTGCTAGCATATTGCGGATTTTGTTTATTGAGATGTTAATATTTATTTGCAACAAAACGAAGAAATAAAAAAGCTAATACATATAGGCAGGAATAAGTTCTATATATCTTCCAAAACAAAATAATCAGTAACTGAATAGATAGAAGGCGTAAACAGATAAGAAACGCAATAAACTAAGATAGTATGATGCACAGTAACATAAGAGGAAGGGAGAAATCTAATCTTATGCGAGTCATTAAATCGGGCGTAAACCTTTCACGTTTGCAGTCTAACCAACGATTATTGTGGTGAATCTGTGTTAAAAATGTACGCGATCGAAAGATTTATGCTGAAAAAACAAAACTTGCGTTTTCAATTGAAATGGCCAAGCTATTATATCAGTTTTAAGTTATATCATAACGAAAACGATGTTTATGGATATAAACCGAGTCAACGGAGGCATTTTAAAGGTATTCATCTTCTTATTAGAATATCAAAAATAACATGGGATTTGTCTCATTATTAAATATTTACGCTATATATATCTATCTGCCCAACTCAATCACGATAGTAAAGAAAATAAGCTTAAGATTAAACAAGAATAAAAATAAGAAAGTCAAATTAAACTAATATTCATACATCCAATAGGTCATAAAATGGAATGTATACAAATTTTCGTGCACAGCTGTTATGACATTCTAAATATGGCATTTTAAATTCTTCTTATTTTAGAAATGCATTCGTGGTGAATGAAACATAATGTTTTGTCGTTATATATTTATTTAGCGATATATTCGTAAAATACATTTATACTGCGGTGTAACTAAAGATGTATTATTATATATAAATACATATTCTAAAAATCAATAATAATACAAAAAGACTAATAGTGAGTAATATTTACATATGATAGAAATTTACAACTTTTTGTTTGGCTATTTGTTTATATAAAATTCATAATATGATTGCCATTTGAATTTTTTTCAGTATCAAAGGAATATCTAGATAAACGAGCAAAACAGAGCAATTTTTATAGACTAGTCAGCGCATATAGGATTCATGGACATAAACAAGCCGATATAAATCCAATTTCAATGAACAAGTCATTGTTATTGCCTGAGTTGCAACCAGAAAACTTCAAACTAAATTTAATGGATAAGGTCTATTTCCGAGGAATCTTATTTACACAACAAAACGAAGGATCAATAGAGGAAGCCATTCGATTTTTAAACGCTACCTATTGTGGTACTGTCGGAACTGAATTTAGCTATCTTGAGGTAATTTTCAAATTTTATAAAATTTTACTGTTATGTGCAAAAATTTTGAAATATTGTCTTTTAAAAATTGTGATGAAGTTAAATGTACTTAAATTCGGTTAAAAAATGACTTTTTGTTATCTGCTGTAATATACAGGGTATCCGGTAATAGACGGATCACCTCTCGTGTGCAGGTAGAGTGGGTTAAACCGAGTAGAAAAGCCTTGTACCTTTTTCATAATAAATTGAAATAACATTATTTTGTATAAGAGTTTTTTTAGAGCAAAAGACACTTATGCACGTGCACTTGGCGCTTTTTTTCACTTTTTAAAAAAAAAAAGGGTGTTCGGTAATAGACAGATCATCTCTCGTGTGCAGTTAGAGCGCGTCAAACCAAATAGAAAACTCCTGTACTATTTTGCGATCGCAATAATTAATGAAATATTAATTAAAAAAGATCGGCCAATCCGCCCGAGTAGAAGCCCGTGACGAAGCAGAGGGAGTGGAGTTCTTTAAAGAACAATGGCTATGTACGAGCGGCACGTAACGCTGGAGTTCCGCTGCTCATACATAGCCATTGTCCATTGAAAAACGCCCCTTCCCCTGCTTCGTCACGCGCTTCTACTCGAGCGGATTGGCCGATCTTTTTTAATTAATATTTCATTAATTGCGAAGATCGCAAAATAGTACAGGAGTTTTCTATTTGGTTTGACGCGCTCTAACTGCACACGAGAGATGATCTGTCTATTACCGAACACCCTGTATATATATAGGGTGTATTAGTATAAGTGATGCAGCTGAATATCTCTTGACTATAATAAAGTATTTTTTCATTAAATACTTTTTCAGTTATTTTATATCTTAATCTGACATATTTTGATATAAAAAATAAAATATAAAAATAAAAAATAAAAAAGTAAAATATTTAGTTTCAATAATCTTACAGTAATACTTTTATAACTGCTAAAAAATTACCTTTTTTAAAAAAAAGTGAAAAAAAGCGCCAAGTGCACGTTATACTAGATTCTTGTGTGCGTATGCCTATATTACTGTTCACAGTTATCCATACTGGTTTTTGATAGGTATTTGACGTTAAATTTTCCAGAGTGCAACATTATATAGCGTAGCACTCTTTCATTTATAAAAAAGTAAAGCTGCAAAATTCTTCCTGATATTTCTGGATAGTTGAATCTATAGAATACACACACACACATATCATATAATAAACATATAGAATACATACATCTCTTTCTTATCAATATATGTATTGCGATGCTTTATTCTGTTTTTACACGTAGCATAAATTACTTTTGTAATGTTTTAGTTCTCTCTAATATAAATGAGATATACCTGATGCAATTAGCCACAAGTATTACGAAGAATTTTGCATCTTTACTTTTTTATAAATGAAAGCGTACGAACACTGCACATTGTCAATAAAAATGTTTAACCCCAAATTGACGGCATTTTTTTGGTTGTAACTTTCTTTCCTTGACAGCTATTAAAAAAATTTTCAAACAAAAGTTGTAGCAAATATTTTTTCCTACAAAATTAAAAAAAAGGAAAAAGATTCGACCAATAGGCGCCGAGATATCCAAACTTACCCCTATTTTGAAGATCGTCGCCGACGCACAGGGAAATTTTGTTGGGATGGAGGGTTCCATTTAAGAAAACATCGATCACATTGACCTCACATTGAAAAGGTCACTCAAGATCAAGTCCATATTTTTATCATGTGGTCCCCTCGAAATTATGCAACTTTTGTCTGAAACATTTTTTCCAATCTCTTTTACTTTAAGAGATATTCAGCTGCATCACTTAGAATGATACACCCTGTATAAATGTATATTAGAGATGCAACGAATAGTATATTCGACCGAATACCAAATATCGAATATTAGGCAAAGTCATGTGCCGAATAACCGAATATTCGGCGAATATTAGGCACGGTCTACGCGCCAACGACTCAACAATCCTGACACTTATTCAAGTTTCTGTTATGATGAAATGAGGGCAAAACAAAAAAGTTTTGATGATACTGGTACTACAAGCTTAATTTCAACAGAATTCGATGCGTATTTGAAAATTGGATGTATATTATAACAATCTCTACAAATGGTAGGCAGCAAATAGAAATATATTTCCACATTATTTAGCATAGTTTGCTGCGATTTACCTCTCTGCCCCCGGGAGCAATGTTTATTAAGAACGACTTTTCTCGAAAGCAGTATGAAGATAAAAGAAATAGACTGTTTTCTTCCAATGCGGAAAAACTTTTTTTTTGTATCACAATTTGCCGCTTTTTAATTTTAATTACAATGATTAATTTTAAAATTATTAGTGTGTACTAAATAAAAACATTATGTAACAATAATGTACACCTCACTTTGAATCATAATGTTACATAATATCTTTACTATTATAACAAAAATTATTATGCATCCCAGATAGCAAAATGCTAGCAGTATGCCAGCAGTATGCCAGTAAATTCAATCATGACTTCGCAGCAGATTCCGTTCTGCTGCGTCCTCTTTAAGCTTAATTTCTGGCAGCACGGCTTGCCGATATAATATAACAGAGAAAATAGGGCAGAAATCGAGTATTATTTGCTATTACGTCGTGACAGCAGATATGTAACAAATATCGAGCGAAGTCTGCCATATAAGATCTGACGGCAGAAATCAAGCATGGTCTGCCGTTACAATGTGACGGCAGAAACGCAGCAAAAGTCGAGCATTGCCTGCTGTCACAATGTGACGACGAAAACACAGTAAAGATAAAACACGCCTGCAAAGCATAATTACTAATATAGATACAATAAAATCTGAATATTGCATAGTTATAAATAAACTCTTTATTTTGTTTCAAGAAGTCAATAAATTTTCTAATTATCCACTCGGTTTCCAAAATTTTAGTTTAATATTCTGAGTCCTTTGTTAGAATTCAGAAATTAAGCTGATAAAAATAGATATTATAACTCCTGTATACAGGACACAGGACATAGCAACGCTTGCCGTGTCACCGCGTCCTGTGTGCAGAAGCCATTACATATTTTTAATCTTGTTAACCGCGCTTTGCGATCTTTATATTTGCCTATAACAGAAACTTGATTACGAGATAGATACGTCATATAGCGGTAAATGAAAGAACTGTAACTTGATACAGCATATCTTAATATTGCTGTGATTCTACCATTATTTTATGACAACAGATCATGCTGTGTTTCTGCTGTGTTTTTGCTGTTATCTTTTGAAATGGCAGCGCATGCTTAATTTTTGCAGCATTTCTGCCGTTACGCCATGTTTGCAGATAAACTCGATTTCTAACGATATTCTGCCGATATAGCATGTTGTGTCATAAGTTCAGTTTTTATTTAGCTTCTGTGTACATATTGTCCCAACACGCAATGCTTTAAATCTACTGTTTTTATGCCAAAAACTTCTGCTTAAATTTTGCAGCATTTTTTGTAGCATATAATGATGCAGAGATTGTTTGTCTTCTGTTACATTTTCGCCGGCACTAATTAAAATGGCAAATCATGCGCGGCTGCTGCCAGAATTCTAACAATATAATATATAATGCATAATTTGCAATACGTGATCGGGCAAACTTGGCTATCTGGGCATTACATATAAATACTCAAATTAATAATAAATAAAAATCTATAGAAATCTGCGATGTCCCTATGACTGTCATTAAAAAAAAATGTTGTCCGTATGTCTGACACCCGATAATTGCCAGTCCCTTTGACTGTGACCAGATCACTGCCAGTCTCGCTGCGCCCGAAAAGAGGTTAAAGTAGTCTGTAGATGAATGTCAGTTATGCGTACTTGTGACGTGTTTCCTGCCCCGAATACTGACGGCATTCCGACGGACAAACCAGAAAATATTGTCCCTATTGCTGTGAGCGTTAATTATAATAATTTAACATAAAATATCACTTATTTCACACTTTAATTCATTAAAATGATTCTTATATAGCTCATTAATTCATGTTCGATACCTTGGGTATCTTGAGGCATGTGCCCCCCACGCGGTCCCGCGGTAAGAGTGCGTCGCGAAGGCGTGGCCGAGAAAATGAGTGTTCCTCTTGGTTTTTGTATGTTTTATTACAAACTTCGACTCGGTGGGATACAATTATCGCAGTCCTGGAGGTGAGGTGCGAGCACCGGCCTTCTTATCACACTAACAATAACTCGAGCGTGTACGCGGCAAAAATGCCTTCTGTAGCCATCTTGGTTCTAAGACTGTCTGTATTTTCGCGCCGTCTCCCTGGATCCTTTTAGTTCTCGCGATCGTCGCGCCGTGCGGCGGCTCTACGATCCACTAGGTGAACCGTCTTAAGTATACATAGAGAGCGTTCCGAACAATTCATTTTATATAATCAATGTAGGTTATATAATAAAATTATTGCTCTTTCTTTAGTACAACTTTTGCATCATCTTTTATTTACGTAGTCGCACTTTTGATACTCAAACTTAATGTTCAGTTTTTAACTTTAATTTTTAAATACTAAGTAAAAACAAATACGTGTCATTTTTTTGTTTTTATATAAATTAAAGTATTGATTTAATAATAAATTTTTTTTTGAACATGTTTGTTTATAAATTAATTTTTTTCAAGTAAAATATATAAAACGGCAGTTATAGGGACACTGACAGTAATTGGAACATCTATCCTATTTCTTTTTTCTTCATACATATTACCTGCTTCTGAGAAAAGTCAAGAAAAGTTGTTCTGAATAAACACTGTTCCCATGGGCAGAGAGGTAAATCGCAGCAAACTTTGCTAAATAATGTGGGAATAGATTTCTATTTGCTGTCCATCTTGTGTAGGGATTGTCACATCGTAATATACGTCCAATTTTCAAATACGCATCGAATTCTGTTGAAATTAAGCTTGTAGTACCAGTATCATCAAAACTTTTTTGTTTTGCCGCCACTTCATCGTAACATTCCACAGACTTCTATATATTACTAGACTGCTAACTTCTTATGTATAAGGCGTCTCCATTTCTTATG